GGGGGGGGGGGGAGAGAAGAGGGGGTAGAATAAGGGGTGGTTATCTTGAGATGATCTCGGGGCTTTTAGTGTCCCCGCGGCCCGGTCCTCGACCAGGCCTCCACCCCCAGGAAGCAGCCCGTGACAGCTGACTAACAAGACTGTTAATGTAGTCCCGATATACAAGAAGGGAGATAGACAGGAGGCACTGAACTACAGGCCAGTGTCCCTAACCTGCATACCATGCAAATTGATGGAGAAGCTTGTGCGAAAAAAGCTAGTGGAACACCTGGAGCGAAAGAACTTTGTTACACAACATCAACAAGGGTTCAGGGATGGCAAGTCCTGCCTCACAGGGTTAGTTGAATTCTACGACCAAGGCAGCAAAAATCAGGCAAGAAAGGGAGGGGGTAGGCAGACTGTGTATTTTTGGATTGCCAGAAAATCTTTGATACAGAACCACACAAGAGGCTTGTGAAAAAGCTGGAGATGCAGGCAGGAGTGAAAGGGAAGGTACTCCATTGGATATGGGAGTACCTAAGCAACAGAAGACAGCAAGCCACTGTAGGGGCGAGGTCTCAGATTGGAGAAGTGTCACCAGTGGAGTCCCATAGGGTTCAGTCCTTGGACCTATACTATTTCTGATACAAGTAAATGACCTCCTAGAGGAAATAGACTCGTTCCTCTCAATGTTTGCTGATGATGCAAAAATTATGAGGAGGATTAAGACAGAGGAAGGTAGCATGAGGCAACAAGATAACCTAGACAGACTGAATGAATGGTCCAACAAATGGCTACTAAAGTTCAACCCAAGTAAATGTTCGGTAATGAAACTAGGCAGTGGAAACAGGAGGCAAGAAACAGGATACTGAATGGGAGATGAAGTCCTTTACGAAACGGACAGAGAGAAGGATCTAGGAGTTGATATCACACCAAACCTGTCTCCTGGAGCCCACATAAAAATAATAACATCGGCTGAGTATGAGAGGCTGGCTAACATCAGAACAGCCTTCCGGAACCTGTGTAAGGAATCATTCAGAACCTTGTATACCAAATATATAAGACCAATCCTGGAGTATGCGGTCCCAGCTTGGAGCCCATACCTTGTCAAGCACAAGCTGGAAAAAGTTCAGAAGTATGCCACTAGACCAGGGGCCAGATTCACGAAACAGTTACGTAAGCACTTACGAAAGTGTGCACCTTTCCACAATCTTTGACGCCTTTGATTACATTTACTAAACAGTTTACAAGCATGAAAACGTCCCATTCAACCGTTGTTATTGTTATAAACAGCCTCCTGGTGCTTCGGAGATCGTTAACTGTTTAATAATTGTAAACAAAGTCGCCAAAGATTGAGAAAAGATGGACAGGTTCGTAACTGCTTGCGTAACTGCTTCGTGAATCTGGTTCCAGTCCTAGAGCTATGATGTATGACTTAATCTAACAAAAACTAAAGGAATGATACCACAGATAGGAAAGAGACTTAGGAGAGACATGATTACCACATATAAAGTCAGCAGAGAAATTTATAGAACAAACAATGACCGAGTAGCTTGAGTGGTAAGCAAACAAGGGGACAAATTACTCACACTCTCTATAGAGAATTTTGTTCGTGCCACAGTAGTGAATGAAGAGAGCACATTGAGCAATGGTGGAGGCAAACTCCACTCACAGTTTCATATATAGATATGAAAGAGCCCAATAGGCTCCGGAGACCGTCCACTAGTTGATTGAAAGTTCAGGAGCGGGACAAAAGAATCGGAGGTCAACCCGGGCAGGCAACACATTACATGAGTAAACACACACACACACACACACACACACACACACACACACACACACACACACCACACACACACACACACACACACAAAGAGCAGAGCCTCATGTTCCTGGAAAACAGAAGAGTAAGGGGAGACATGATAACCACCTACAAAATTCTCAGGGGTATTGACAGGTTGGACAAAGACAGACTCTTCAGCACGGGTTGGACACGAACAAGGGGACACAGGTGGAAACTTATTACCCAAATGAGCCACAGAGACATTAGAAAGATTTATTTTTAGTGTCAGACTAGTTAACAAATGGAATGCATTAGGAAGTGATGATGGAAGAGGCTGACTCCATACACAGTTTATAATGTAGATATGATAGAGCCCAGTAGGCTCAGGAATCTGTACACCTGTTCATTGACGGTTGAGAGGCGGGACCAAAGAGCCAGAGCTCAACCCCTGCAAGCACAATTAGGTGAGTACACACACACACACACACACACACACACACACACACACACACACACACACACACACACACACACCATAAACTATCCTCCAATTATCCTAACAACCTCACGTTATCTCCAGGGACACCCGATCACATCGCTAATAACCTGGAATGAATATTTTTTCCTTATTAAAATTCCGCGAGTGTTTGGAATGACGGAGAGGCCAGCGGGAAGCCATTAGGACGAGCCCATAAGGAAACCTTCAATACGAGGCGAGAGCTGCGGGCTGACCGCGTGCGAACACTGGCAACGGACTGTCTGGCTCCGACTTGGGTTTCCTGTTTTAGATGTAAATATGTTCGTTTTTTTTTGCGCGCACGTGTTCATAAATGTGTGTGTGTTTTATCTGTCGTATATATATAATTTTCTTCCATTATTTGGCTGCCATCTCTTACCCTTCCCTCTCTCTCTCTCTCTCTCTCTCTCTCTCTCTCTCTCTCTCTCTCTCTCTCTCTCTCTCTCTCTCTCTCTCTCTCTCTCTCTCTCACAGCTATAAAGAAAACTATACGACTATAAAAATATAAAAATGTATTACTTCTTATCAGAATTATTCCACTCTTTGCGTTCCTTCTTTAACTAGTTCACTAAGCAACAAAAAAAATCCTATAAGTTTTTAATATGAAAGAGACTCTGGGTTCACCAGCCACTCTGGATCGACTAAAGGCCGGTATAGAGTTTGGTGGAGGTTGCTTAAAACTTCGCTCAGATGTCGGGTCTTTCGTTCAGAGGAAATGTCCAAGCACTGACAACCAGAGACAATGATTTGTCACTGACAGGTGAGAGACAGGCTGACAGTCATAGAAACAGTAAAATACAGAAAAAATATTTGACAGACACATGTACGGAAAAAGGGACTGAAAACCAAACTGGAAAGAGATACAGTGGCAGACAGACGGACAGACAGACAGAGAGAGACAGTGAAAGGTACAGATAGACACGAAACAGAAACAATAGAGACGCAGTGACAGACAGACACACACAGAACCACAAGGTGTTTATCAAAATCGAATACATAAAAAATGAAATACAGAGCTGAAGAGAGACGCAAACAGGCGATGATACTTTAAACTTGAATCAATATTGTGGTGGAGGTTGGGGGGGGGGGTGGACTCCTCCCGAGGGGGGGGGGGGTAAAGGAGTGGCGTGGGGTTTTGGGGGGAGGATCGGGGTGTTGGTGAGGGGGTGTTGGGGGAGAGAGGAGAGTGGGTGGTATGTTCAAGGAAGATGATTAGTGAGACAGACAGACAGACAGAAGTTGTAAATCATAAATAAACTTCCCAATTATCAGACAATATAAAGAAGGAACGATAGAAAATGTCAATTTAAAGAGAAAAAAGCGTGAAAGGTGAATTAATTAGATAAACGAGAGATAATATGGAGGAGGGTATTATCAGGGGGGAAAGCGCCAAGCCATTATGACTATATATAGCACTTGGAAGGGGTCAAGAAGAAATGGTGCCTAGCCACTTGGACGGTCGGGGTGAAAATAACTTAAACAAGTAAAGGTGATTAACAAGACTGAGAATGCCTAGAGAAATGAGAAGAGCCAGAAAGCACGAAAAGCAAGAAACGAGAAGAAAAAAGAAAGTCAACATTACCTAGTTTTATTATTCATGCGCTTATGAGAGAGAGAGAGAGAGAGAGAGAGAGAGAGAGAGAGAGAGAGAGAGAGAGAGAGAGAGAGAGAGAGAGAGAGAGAGAGAAATAATGAGAACAAGAAAAACGGCTATTGTATTTAAAATGCTGCAAAACACCCTGAATATTTTATAGGATATTTTGCGGTGCAAATTATACAGGAGGACGGGAGGCCCCGCGCCTGACATTTTGCCTATAAAATATGTACGCGTAGAGTGGCCCGACACTGAAAAGCGATTCCTCCGCTTACCTCAGAGTTTGACTGGCTGTTGAATGCCTGATTGCATCTCTCTAGTGCCTACCCGCTGACTGACAGCACTTCAGATGGGGTGCAAAGTCAGTTCCACAGATGTAATCTGATTCTAGGATGGAGGGAATTAAGTGGACGACTTGATTCCTCGTCCCTGTATTCTGTGTCTGTCTGGCCCTGGTGAGTGATGTGTTTAGTGACTCTGCTGTGAGGAACTTGGCATCACAACTAACCTGGAGAGGTATAGTCCCCTGACCTTCTGCGGGGCGGCGCACTGGAGGTCAGGAGCGGTGAGGGACGTGTTGGAGGCACTCAATACCTCTGCCAGCCACTTCAAGGAACAGTTGCATACCATGGGGTTGCCCCGCAGGTCCAGGCTGGCTAGCGACCTCCACGTGACCTCCGTCGCTGGCAGACTCTGGAGGCCGTTGGCGCGGAGGTCGAGGGAGAGAAGGCGTGGGAGGGAGGTGAGGAAGCCTCGGGGAAGGTGTCTCACCAGCGGGTTGTGTGAGAGCGTGAGCTTGCGCAGGTTTACACACTGGGTGAGAGCCCCGGGGTGCAGCATCGTCAGGTGGGGACATCGGGAGATCTCCAGCGATGTCAGCTGGTCCAGGCTTCGGAAAGCACCGCCTTCCAGGCTCTTTAGTTTGTTCCTGCTGATGTAGAGAGAATCCAACATAAAGAGCGATGCCAGGGCCAGTGTCGGCACCTCTCGCAATAAGTTGTCGTTGAGATTTAGCTTCAGGAGCCCTTGCAAGCGCTGGAACGCAGTATCGGCGACGAATTCAATGCTGTTGGTCTCGAGTGAGAGCGTCACAAGGGCCTCCGTGTGGAAAGCGTTGGGTTCCAGGCGGGACAGACGGTTGCGACAGAGATGTAACGCCTTCAGCACCTTCAGGTCGCCCAGGGCTGCCGTGGGCACATGTCTGAAGTAGTTATCACACAGGTCGAGCACGTGGAGGCCCTGACACCCGCGGAAGGAGTGCAGAGGAAGCGTGTGGAGCTTGTTGTGCGCCAGCAGGAGCACCTTGAGGCCCTTCACATCCAGGAGGGCCGCGGCCGGCAGCTCCGGCAAGATGTTATGGCTCAGGTCCAGTAGCGTCAGCGACGACAGGCCCCTGAGGGCCCCGGCGTCCAGGGACGACAGGTTGTTGTGACCGAGGCGCAGCTCCCGCAGCCTCACCTGCACCTGGAAATTGCCGGCGCCCAGGTCGGACAGGTTGTTGTGCGAGAAGTCCAACTCCTCCAGCTGGTCGAAGAACACGAGAGACTGACCGACGGAGCTGATTGAATTATGCGCCAGATTGAGGCGACGAAGGCCCGGGTTAAAGAGGATAGGCACGACGTTAATTCCCACGCCCACGCAGCGGGCGCTGGGCCCGTCGTCGTCGCACGAACATCCAGTGGGACAGAACGCCCACGCCACGCCCACCAACGCCGCCCACGCTAGCCACCAACACATTCCTGAAACGAAGAAAGAAATATAGAAGCATTAACATGAGTTCCTGAATTTTGTCTACCGTCTTATTCACTACCCACGAGTGCCAGAGACAGGAATGTCGCCTCCCAGCTGATATCTTTCCAATATACCATTGGCAGCAGGGCGGACCATAGCGAGGGCTCTCAGTAGATGTGTGGGCGCAGGTAAGCAAGCGCCCGGAGGACTCTTCCTGACACAGCTCCGTGATGTACGGGCCATGAAGACCACCTGTCCTCGCTCTCCGAGGCCCCACGCGACACCTTGATGCCACCATCAGCCTCCAGCATCCATCTATTCCTCTCGCCTCTAAATTCATCTTATCCCTTTCTGCTCAAGATGTAACACGTGAAGATGCACTGGTATTCTCCTTCGCATCCCGTCGCGCGCCTCCAGGATCACACATCTCATTCCACTGCCACTCTTATCTTAAATTATTAGCCATAAATCAATATGTATTCAATTTTTGTATAGGCATTAAATTATACTATTTAGTGATAATTAGTATTGAGGGCAAAATAACCAAACAATAATAATGTACCTCATAATAATAATAATAATAACAATAATAATTTACCTCTTAATAATATTAATAATAATGTACCTATATTACCTAATACCTAATAACTATATATAATTATTTTTGCAAGTCTAGTCATAGTTTATTTCTAAGTTTACAACTTAGAAATGCATTTTTGTAGCGATTCTATACCTTTTTTTTTAATTCTTTTGTGAATTATTAACTAAGAGTTTTTAATTACCGGAATGACAATTTGTTTGGATCGCCGGCCTGTTGTCAAAACACATTCCATAATTTTGCATATTTCGGATGGTAAGAGCACCGACACTGCTCTGTGTGTGTGTGTGTGTGTGTAGAGGGAACGTTCATTTGGTTGTCACATATCACACCTGTGGTGGGTAGTTTGTTCGTAAGAGGATAGCATGTAGAGGCATGTAGTTCAACTTCTAGTGTGTGGTCTGGTCAACATGTAGAGAAGCTCTAGGGAGGGCAGGTATCTTGTGATCTTTGTAGAATGAAGACAACCCAGCTGTATATCTAGTGCATTCAGGCGTCTGTATGTGTGGTCTTGAGTCAAGTACATTAAGTTTGCTACTTATTAGATGAGGCAGCTCTTTCTTGAGTTTTATCTAACGTGTCAGGACCTACAGGTGTTGACTTACCTCTTCTACGGTAACTACAATTCTGTCACACACGACACAAGAGCATACACGCAACACGTGGTATCAGAGGATTCATGACTGGCCGGACTTTGTTACTATAAAGGAGGCGAGAGCAGCGGCATCTAGAGCACAGGTGGTCTGATGGTTGTGAGGTACACGAGAGGGCTCCACAACCTTCCCAGCTGGACGAGAGGCGGTCTGAGAGGACAGAGGCTCCAGTGGAGAGCTCCAGAGCCTCCCCGACCTGAAAGCGGGGTGGGCTGAGTGTGCTCCAGCTCCACTAGAGGGTTTCACATCCCACAAGAACCCGCCACAGAATCTCTTGATTAAGTTTGCTGAGAGCCTAAATCCCCACTCTTCTCAACCTTTATCCCCCACTCTTTTTCTGCTGCTGGCACTACCACTACTGGCGCTGTCTGCTGCTGCTGGCACTGTCTGCTGCTGCTGGCACTGCCTGCTGCTTGCACAACCACCTGCTGGCTCTGCCTGCTACTGGTAAGGCCTGCTGCCGGCATTGACTGCTGTTGGCACTTTCCACTGCTGTTGCTACCTGCTACTGTGACCACCAGTCGTTGCTACCCGCTACTGTGACCACCTGTCGTTGCTACCTGCTACTGTGATCACCTGTCGTTGTTACCCGCTACTGTGACCACCTGTCGTTGCTACCCGCTACTGTGACCACTTGTCGTTGCTACCCGCTACTGTGACCACCTTATGGGAGGTTCTGGAGGCCCCGAACTACAAGAACTTCACCTCGTGTATTCATTAGAGTTCCGGGTTGGTCGCTTTCTATACTATCGTGGCCGAGTGGTTAAGTGGTCTAGTGTGTCTTCGCCCTCCAGATGGCAGAAGATATTTGCGTAGAATGGAAAATATCCAAAAGAATACTAACAATAATCACACTGATGTTATGTTTAATAACATATATAATTTTATATATATTATATATTAATAAGTTTAATATATATATATAATTAGTATATTTTGGTAATGTTTTTCCTACGGCATGACAATTTTTTTTCTGAATTTTTTTCGAGTGTGAAATATGTTACATTAATCCCTTTAACCCTTATTCCTGTCTTGGTTTAATGGAGATCTCATCAGGCGAGCTTAATCGGCCCCCATTATCCGTGCCTCCGTATAAACTGGGATTATCACACCGCAACATCCGGTTAAAACAAGGCCTTCATTATTCACACGCTCCTAAACCGAATATTCTTTAAGCGGAACTCATCTGCTCGAGCCTCGGGACGCTCCATGTTATGTCTTCTATATTCATATACAGTACTAATTTTTTTCATTTTCAAAATATGAATTATAATTTTTTTTTAACTGGGAATAAATGATAATTTTTTTTTTTTAAGTTTTCTCGTCAGAATTTAGAGAAGATATTTGGACGTTATATGTTTATAAATAGCCTGCCTCTGGTGTCCATCCTCTCTCTCTTAGTTCTTCTGGCCAGGACAACTATGAATATTGTATGAAAACTATGAAAATATATGAATATATATATATATATATATATATATATATATATATATATATATATATATATATATATATATATATATATGTGTTCTTTGATAGAACCTTGGTATTTGTTCATTGTCAAACGTCTTAAAAAATTGGTTTTGCATATAAATTGAAATCATTGGGGCTGGCAGTCGTAAATTTATTATGTAAAGACATGCAGCAGATGACATTCTTCTGTTTCGAGACATTTCGTTTAGTGTCGGGAGAGATCTTCGGGAATAAGATGTCGGACTACTCGCTCTTATACTAAAATATCAACTACACCTTCGTGTTACAAGGCTCACAGAATAGTCACGTTAGATATCACTGACAGCAGCGTGACTGTTACCGTCCCTAACCACAAGATACAGTTCACAATTTACTAAAAGACCAAATGAATCGCCTATTGTAATTAACTTTAATATTTTACTAACTGCCGAAAGGGCAGATGCCAGCCGATAGTTCGTTATTAAATGTGAATCTGTTTCTTTTGATTTGTCTTTTTAATTTTGTCTAAGTCGGGGATATTACATTGTGACATGTTGCAGATGAAAGATATATATATATATATATATATATATATATATATATATATATATATATATATATATATATATATATATATATATATATATATATATATATATATATATATATATATATATACATATAATATATATATTATAACTTTAATAACAAAAGCAGTTTAACTTTAATAACAAAAGGCCATAACAGTAGCAAGCGCTAAAGCAATTGCTTGGACCAGGCTTTAAAACTGAACGATGCAAGAAAATAGTTCCTTGCTTGCAAATTGCAGAGATAAATTTGGTTCCTAATTCTGTAAAAGTGCACTGTTGGTGTTAGTAAAAAAAATGGGGGAGACAGAGAGATGCGGTAAGTAAAAGGATGCGTGTATATATATATATATATATATATATATATATATATATATATATATATATATATATATATATATATACATACATATATAATCCTTTTGAGGTAATTGAGTGACTTGAACCGCCATTCTGGTGATTCCCAAACACCTGCCTTAATCTTTCCCTTTTTACTGTTCGATGTTCCGTCAGCAATGTGACAGCTTCAGGAATACTCTCTGTTGAACTGACACAGGTATAGAGCTAACGAGGAGAAATCAAGACATGTTGTTGTTTCAGATTTAGCTACTCAAAACGAAATGTCCATGTAGCACGGGCTATGATGAGCCCGTAAATGTGTAATAGAGAACATGTGTAAGTGTGTCTACTTATAACTCTACGATTCACCTGACCTCTTTAATCGTAGGGAGCGGCGCAGGATAGGGTGAGGTGATTATTGCCTGCCTCTGGCTTCTAGCTGTCCGCCAGGTCTTACATCTTCCCTCTGGGTCAATGTATGCTCGATGACGAAATCATCTGGATGTTGATTACTTGTGTCAGCTCCCTCTACCGTCCAACCACTTGGGCTGGACGGTAGAGCAACGGTCTCGCTTCATGCAGGTCGACGTTCAATCCCCGACTGTCCACAAGTGGTTGGGCACCATTCCTTTCCCTCCGTCCGATCCCAAATCCTTATCCTGACCCCTCCAAGTGTTATATAGTCGTAATGGCTTGGTGCTTTTCCCCTGATAAATCCCTTTCCCTTTCCGAATGAACACAGCCTCAAGCACATGAAGCCCCTACGGTCGTCGGTGCGGGTGATTACTGTCGTATCTTTCACTATGTCTTGGTGATTCAGGATGGTGTTGTGGTGTTGAGAATGATGGTCCTTAATACCTCTGCTACACTGGACATACCACGAACACACTGAGTAGACGTCTTAAACTTCATTTGTAAGAGCGGCAGGGAAGTAAGGGAATAATGGGAGGGGTATAGAAGAAAATGAAGAGCAGCAGAGGGTAGAGAATAAATTAGGGCGAAGAAGGAACGTGGCCAAGGATAGAATGACAGAGGGAGAGAGAGAGGAAAGAGACAGACAGACAGAGAACGCAAGAATAGGTAATGAGAGAGGTGCAGGATGGAATAAGAGGAAGGGAAGGAAGATGGACGATAAGGGTACAAGTGGGTAACGTTGAACACAACACACTCACAATAACACTATAATCGCCTCATAATACATCACCTCCCCTCTACACCTCCCTCCTACCCCCCACACCCCCCCCCCTATGACCCCCACTTGACCCCCACTCCCCAGTAATGACCGCCTCATCCATCTCACCACGATTACATTCGGTGTAGCTGTGTAATTAAGTAATTTATGGTCTAGTTCTCCTAGGAGGAAAATTGCATTTCACTTC